TACAATGCCACTGAGCTAGGGAAGTTGCGCATTAGGCGCTCTTTATCTCCGGGTAAACAAGACGAGCTTCGTATTTCCAGTGTGAGGAGCAAGTAAACAGCTGGTATCTACGCCAAAGTTTAGGAACTGCAGAGATGCAGAGTGCTCAGAAACTTTTCTCACGTCTCATCGTCGATAGCCCGACAGCACCTTCTTACCAACACCGCCAGAACGCTGTCGATGACGAATATCTCTACTCCCACTAAGCTAGATATTTAGGAGACCTGGCTCATTCCGCTTTGTTGTCTATTTTCGTAAAAGACTTCTCTACAACTATTTCCTGCACCAAAAACTGTGCGACTGATATGAAACTTAGTTAGTTCTTTGTACGAGACGGCGCAAACTACCAACTCGTACTAGCGCCCCCACACTCGATGGTTCAAGCCTGAAATTCAAACGTACCATCAATTATCTAGGAGTAATTCTCGGTAGTGAGCTGCTCTAGAATTACAACAAAAGGAAGCGTATTAAAAAACCGCAACAGCGCTCTTCACTTGTAAAAAAAGCGATTGGTACACTAACACATTCTCACTTTTAGCTCACGCTTGTTTGTGGTAGTGCTCACCTTTGGTCATGCGGCTTCTCGACTATGATAGTTCACTGGATCTTAGGGATGTCAGTGGCAAAAATACATCGAGGTATTTATTTGATTTGATGCATCGAAATGGTTCTTCAGATAATATTTCATCCATTTTTGGTCAAACTCACTCCTTTTTTTGCACAATTGAAAAACTGAAATGGCGGTCAAACGTGTTTTAGTGTCAGTAAAAAAAAATTGATGCGTGAATACATCGACTATTTATACATCGAATGGAAAATTTTCGTTGCATTGAAGCAAAATATCTATATTTTCGATGCATCGATGTTTTTCCGACATCCCTACTGGATCTAAACGGTCATTGTACATCCTATTTTAGACTACGAAGCCTAAGTCTGGTGGCCTACCCACAATAAGTCAGCAACGCTTAAACAACTCCAAAGGGTACCAAAGAGTGCGGAGCTTTACACAAGCAGAGCTCTATGCCACTCATCTACCTGACATCGGCCCCGTTTGACGTAATAGCTCGAGGGCTAACCCTTAGGATTCAGATGAGCAGGTTCATGGACTCACAGTACATCCGGCCACATGCAAATTTTAGGAATTATGGCGCCCATACCGATACCTGCAAGTACTGACCACTGCCTATCATCAAATACCTCTAACAAAAACTATGAAACTACCATACCAACTCGACAGGATTGGAACACCAGGTCTCTCCACATACGTGACGATATAAACAAATATACTCATGACTCCAAACTCTACGGAAAGTTAGGAGGAGGGGTCTTCTCGACCAATGTAGATGCGGAAGTGCTGGCTTTCTAGGAGGCCAAATGGCGCTTGGTAAGATGGCCCAAAGAAAAAAAGTCAAGCAGCCCTGAAAGCTCTATAATCTTGCGTGGACAACTCAAGCTTTCTACCGAATGCCGCAGATCTCTAATCGAGATGGCGCAGCTTTACCTATAGAACAAAACTCGTATGGGTATCTGGACACCGAGATAAGGAAGGTCATATGTGCAAAACCGAGGAATTGGCCAGGAATGTTACGACTGTCACACATATCCCGAAAAAAACATTATATATATACCAGTGAGTACTTTTAAACTGCATGTTAGGAACATCACTGTACAAGCTGCAAATTAACGCTGCTTCTGTGAAATATTCGTACTTACGTGACCCTTTTAAGCGAAAAAAAAATAAAAAATACATATGACATCACAATGAGCCTACCTTTGGCCTAAGTGTAGGTGGAACCTCTCTCTCTAGCCATTCCTACCTAACATAACCCAAACCTCTTTTATCTTGTTTTCTTTTCCACTTTATGCATTGTATATTTTATCATTATATCATTTGATTGCCTTTTAGTTAGTTAGCTGAAAGAAACTCGTTTCAGTTATTATTAGCAGTTTTTTATAGTTTTTTTTTATCGACGATCTCGATAATGAATCAGTGCTTAATACGCGCGACACTATAGCAGCACTCTTTGTTTTGTTGTTATTTTTATTGTATCACATATGCGGGTGTTACTCATTTATTGTATTTTTGTTGTTGTTGCATAATTCACTTTATATTTCAATATATTTTTGTTTTTGTTTTTGCACGCATAAAGTTGGCTAGCAGAACTTTATTTAACACCTCTTGCCACCACTTCCACGTCTTCAGCTATTTCATATTCGTCTACTTCCACTTCCACCAACTTCGTTACATATTTTGTCACATTTTTATACGCCAACTTCAATATTTTTTCATACTTTTGTTATGTCCCCTATATTTCGTAATTTGGTTGCAGTTGTTTATGTTGTTGTTGCTATTGTTGTTGTTATTAATGTCTGTTTTTCCAAAGACTTTAAGACTTGGCAATAAGCTTCTCTCTTCAAGCCATCTTAAGTAGTATGCGCTCTATAGAGATGTCAGTTGGCTGACAAGTTGTTTCTACCAACAACTCACTAATACTTTTGCAAAATCGCACACACACACACACACACACACACGCTTGCATATTTTTCACAATTTTTCACACATTTCTTTGCTAAAAAAACTAAAATTTCCATAAAAATTTCATGACTTTTCACACAATTTTCACTTTCATCCATCGGCTACCGCACTTTTCACGCACCTGCAATGCAAAATTCGCACGCTTTCGAGCAGTTTCAATTGCCAAAATAGGCGCGGCCCCTCAACTTGACCGACCACAATAAGTACCTACATATATGTACATATAAGTAACAATTTAGCCGTTCAACCGACCGTCGTTCCACCAAAATCGCTTCCAATCCGCTCAGCACCAAGAATCAAACTAACTGGCGGTCTGAGAGTGTCGCGCGCATACACCTGGTAAGGCGATACAGCTATCTGGACGGTTAGCTATTGGCTGGTTGTGTTGGTATCGGTGACAGTCGCGTCCAATTGCCACCACTGTATCGCGCACACACACACACACACACACACACACACCTATTCCTTATGGGCATGGGTAAGTAGCTTTTGCTGAGCTTTATTATGCGCGCGCGCTCATTTAAAGTCTTTTTGCCACTTGCACTTTGGTGTGTACATACGTATGTGAGCCTCGCACGCCGCTAACGGATTTTGCACCTCGTACAAGTTTCTTTTGAATTCATTACTTTGTTTACCTCAGCGTTGTCTTAACCTGTTTCTTTGGAGCTTTCTTGTTGGCAACACTCGAGTTGGCTTTCAAGCTTTGTGTGCTGTGTTTCATTGGTTTAAATTTCAATTGTGACTTTTGGGCTTGCTGCTGCATTCACATGATCTTAAAGAGGCTTGTAATTTCGTCGAAATTGTGAACGAGTCGTATTATTTCGCTTAAGTACCCTACGGTTAACATTTTATTTGAAATCCATTTGCAGATTTGCATACATATTTTGCACCAAATTTTTGATATTGATAATTATCAGTTAGATATTACACCGTGCGACAGTAAATTTTACACACAAAAAATGAATATATTCGCGAAACTATGGGCAAATCTATATATAAATACGCCACAAGAAAAGTTTGCAATCCCTTTTGTGAAGGCACCGTTCGCTCGATTTCAAACATCGATCGAAACATACACCGATTTAAGGGATATAACTTCCTCTAATCCAGAAATATTAATCCTTATATATAGGGGGCGTGGCATCTTACATATAGGCTAAAATGTGAAAACCACTATATCTCTAAAACGAATTATGCTGGGGAACTGAAACTTAGCACAGATGCATAGAATGTAAATACCCTACTTGCGGTGAAAAATGGAAGGTACTGGGAAAGTGGGCGTGGCACCGCCCATAAAAACTGAAATTCTCATATCGTTTATCTCTGAAACCACTTATGCTAACGTTCTGAAATTTGACACAGAAACATATGTTG